GAGTCGTGTGGGGCCAGAGGAAAAAATCCTGGGTGCACAGTTTCTTTTTGAATCAAATTCCTGGAGAAATTTTCACATGGCTCCTTACATAAGGGTCCTTGGGTAACTGGAAAGCATTCTGCCTTCAAGTATGGGTTTAATGAGATGGAGACAGTGACCACGTGAAATAGCTCATCTCAGGCTGTAATAAATGCCATGGGCCCGAGATCAAAGTGGCTGAGGGAATGTGGTGCAGGCATGCTGCTTTCCGAGCTTACAGAGACTTTACTGCTGGAGTAGGAGATCTCGAATCTCTCCTCTAGGCTGCCCCTGCAGGAGGCAGGGGTTGCGCAGATGTCTGGGGTACAATGGGAGGCCAGGAGAGGCTTGGTGGAGCAGGTGTGCTTGAGTTTGAAAGATGAATTAATAGGAGTCTGAACAGGCAGTCAATGGAGAAGGAGAAGGTATTCTGGCAAAACAGTAGCAACAACAACCCCCTCACCCAAAGAAGCAGCACAGGCTGAGGCAGGAAATGTTGAAGATGCAGAGAAAAGGTACTGAAGCAGGCAGCGATGTCCGCAGGTAAGGACTTCAGAAAGACACGTCTGCTGTTCTTGTTAAGGGTGGTTTAGAAAGAGGAGACATTGAAGATGGGTCAGTTCAGATATTACTGAACTAGTCTGTGCAAGAGATGATGGTGGCTGCGAGGGGGCAGTGCTGTGGGGAGGACGGGGGACAGGGCAAGAGAGATTTAGGAGGTAGAATTAACGAAGCGAGAAACTGGAAAACTGAAAAAGAGCGAAGGCAGACTCAGGTTTCCAACAGGTGCAGCACTGAAATGAAGGCCCATCCTTAAGACACAGGAGCAGCCATGGGCCAGACAGGAAGGCGAGAGCTGAGATCGAGTCACGGTGGGTTTCAGGAAAAAGGAACACAAATGCTCCCGTTGCACTGTCTCTGAGGGGGACACTTAGATGGTGTGCAGAACCTCCTCCACATTCAGATCTAGTGCCACCCTCTAGAGAAAGGCTGATGTGCACTTGGAGAATGGTGGCT